CAGCAGTCTCTCCAATATCCAAGGCCCCAGATGCACCACCTCTGCCCTCACCTTTTAGTGCACGACACGTTACTGCTCAGGGCCCAGCACAGAGCATTCACACAAACACGTCATATGTATTTTTCCAGACAGCAACCGAGGCAGAAAAGTAAACAACCTACTGTTTAACATGGCTATTTTTTTAAATGACATTCATAAAGCACTCGGAAGCTTTTTGCACTATGCTCTGCTGAGAAGTGGCATCTAAAACTAGTGGCCCTTTTTTTGTTTTTTTGTTACTAGCAGTGTATGAGGTGAGGCAAAGGTGGAAGCATCAGAATTGCGTGTCCTTCTCCCCATCTCACTTCCCCTGCACAGAAGGAGCCCCAGGATAACACTGTTGCCCTGGGCTCCTTGTCCACCGGCCCGGCTTTTCTGAGTGAGAGCACTAAAACCCTTCTCTGCCCCATAATCACTTTTCATGCTAAAAGATGATTTGTAACAAACCAGATGTTGGTTGGCTCGGCTCACCCACGTGAATATCCACTGCGTTGGTCCAGTGCTCTCCGTGGCTATTGGAAGCACAGCAGAGGTACGTGCCAGAGTCGCTGACCTTTGCATGGTTGATCTAGACAGATTGAAAGTTAAATCACATTATTTCTGATGAATGCTTGTGCTACCCTGACAGTATTTGCCAAACACAACCCTGTTCCTGGAACTCAACGTCTCTTTTGTTGCTGTTGACCACAACCTAGCCTGAGAAGACTCAGTCTAATGACTGTTTTTACATTATTTTTCTTTCTAGAAGCAGCTCAGTAAGTTCACATGCTGTCTGTTATAGACCTCAGCTTTTAGAACACAAGGATACTCTGCCAAACCCTCCCTCTCTTCTCCAACAGCCCTGAAGCTCTATCACAGTCACAGTCTGACCCTGGAAGTCGTGCTGGGAGGACCATGTGTGACTATAATTGGGCTACCCACTTTTTCTCATTTTCTAGATCTCAGTTCACACCGATCAAAGCATGTCTGGGCCTTTAAATGCAGATAAGAGCCAGACATAAGGACCATGACCTGCCATACGCAGGGTGACAATAAATATTTTAGCAGTTTTTCCAAGCCCTCTGAGGTTATCCCATGCTTGTGACAGCAATGAGCTTCTCATCATGCACAGTTTAGGAACCGTGCAGGGGCTACATTACCCAGAGTTTTTTTTTCTTCTGGTGTTCTAGCACATTCCCGTTTCGGTACCACTGGAAGCTTGGGGCTGGGACCCCCATGGCAGCACACTGCAGCTGTAGTGGTTTCCCTACTTCGACTTTCTGCTCGATGGGGTTGAGGATGATGACTGGTTCTCCTCGCCAAAGCTGAGGGAGCAGACCTGTGAAGTAACAAACAGAGTTGATCCTCTCTTTCCCAGGATATTAATTAAAATAAAGGCATTTTTCCCCAATAAAGGAGTCTGTGCAAACAGCCAGAAAAACAGTTTCCACTTGCACGCAAAGATATTGCCCCACAGCAAGGCTGCTGTTCTAGAGTTGCCTCTCTGTCTTCTCTTGGAGCAGGGAGTCCTCAAGAGCAACATCTACAATAGTGAGATCACCCACTGGACAAGTCAAAGCAAATCCTTTTGCTTTCTAGTCACAAGTGTGCCCTGATGCCTGAAGAGGCTCAGCATATCCTGCCAAGGGTGCAGTCAACATGCAGAGGTTAGACACGCCCAGAGTTATTCTGCCCAGTTTTGAAATAACCACACTGCTTCTTCAAGTCTACCTGCCAAACACAAAGTGGCAAACACCCAGCCTAGCATCGCTTTGGGAAATCTCTGGTAAGTTATCAGCAAGAGGAGCAGGTAAAAAAGCAGCCTGGGTTATTGGAATCATGACAGGTTCTGTCTCCTCCAGAGCAGCTACACAGCTATCCAGTTTGGAACTGCACGGTCATTTCACTAGCAATTCTTTTGGATAACGATTTTAGAGCCGGGAGGACACACTGACCCTAGGACTTCAAAGGGTCACTGTTGCAAGCAGCCTCAAACTTTAATCCATAGGGAATATTTGTGCAAAGCATAAAACAGAGATGCCAGACGCATGCTCATACCTCTGCCAACACACTGATGGACCTCCACTTTCACCCAGTTGGAGAAGACGGCATTTTTATAGATGTCATTGATTCTGCAGGTGTAGAGCTGGGTTTGCTGTGCAGTGATGAGCAAATCCTGTTCAGTGGCACCAGGAATCTGGCAGCAGACAGACTGAAAACAGAGGCAGTAAGCACCACATCCCATTTTTATCGCTGCTAGCAGAAGGCACTAAAAGGATGTTCTTAAGGGCAGGAAGCACGGAAAGCCCCTGGTTTTGTCCCCTCCGGCAGCCAGAAGGATACAGGGAGAAGGAGCTTAGCACCCATGTAGCATACACTGAAGTCCTAGGGAAGCACAAGTATGCAAACATAGCCCATTTCCTTCTGTTCTTTGCTCTTTTGTCTCCTGCCCTCCTGAATCCCACCAGATTTGTCCGTAGCCATCCCTGTTATGCTGCAGTGCACTCCACCAGCCTGGGAGTGCAGGACCCAAGGGTAATCTCCATGTAAAAGCATTACCTGGTGCTGGCAAAACCACTGGTACTGGAGAGACGTGCAGGCCTCAGCTCTGCATCGCAGAGCGAAGGAGTATCCAACAGGGACGGAGACGGAGACCGGCTGCTCGGTGATCACAATGGCTGCAGAGAAAGAGATGCTGGTTTCTAACACAACCTAGGAGATGGAAACAGCAGTGCAGGATCCTTGTCCGCACAAGACTTCCTTTTCAGAGGTGACACAAACCAGCACAACTCAGCTATGGTTAGAGCAAGGTTGCTCCCTTGCTTGGTTCTTTCTTATAAAGCAGCCAGCCACACAGCGAGCAGAACCTGTTGGGCACTTTCTTCTGAAGGGAGAAAACCCCCTCAGGTCCCTTAGGACTGAGGTCCCTGCACAAATGGGCCTGCCCCACAAAGCAAGTATATTTGGGAAAACAAGGAAGCCCCATGTGCAAATGCCCAGGGATTTTTAAGGAGTCTTCTTGACGGCTTAAGCACACACGACACAGCATATGTTTTGTGCCGTCCCGGATGACACCCAGCATGGACACTGACCACTGCCAGACACCAGGAGTTGCAGGACATCTCCCAAACCCTCGCAGCTCCCAGCCACGAACAGCACCTCCCGGGACCACCTCCGCACAGAGGCGGCCAGGGAGCTGCTCACCCTTCTGCATCGCTCAGAGAGCCGCGTGTCCCCCCCGGCCTGTGTGCATGCGGTCGGCCTCAACAGCCGCCGCGCTCGGCTCTTCTCCTGCTTGAGAAGCAGCATCTGCCTGGGGGAAAGAGGGGAAAAAGGCAGAGAGTGTCAGAAAGCCACCGGGCATCCCCGGAGCCCGGGGACACCCGAGCCTCCCTCTCCCCATCCTCAACTCCCACAGCGGGCTGCCAGGAGGGGAAAACCAGAGCGGGGAGAAGGAACCAGCGCCGCTCGCGTCGCCCTCGCAGCCTGCTGGACTCGAGCGAGCAGCCCCGGCTCCTGGGGGCAGTGCCGCGACCTACTCGCTCGTCCTGGCGGCGGGCAGAGCGGCCGGGACTCTCACCTGGCGGCAGGGCGCGGGGGCGGCTGCGGACCGCCATGCTCGCCCGGGATGGAGCCTCCTCCTGGCCCGGGGGGCTCGGCGCGGCCTGGCC